ATTGTGATGAGAAATTAGAGAATATTATATAATATAATTTATATTAAAATCTCCAAATAGAGAATTTATTGGATATGAATGTGAGTTTTTTATAAAGATTTTAACTTTTGGTTCTCTATTTTAGAAAATTTATAGAGAACTTGTTGGAGATGCTCTTAATGATTCAAAATATGTGAAAGTTCAGTGGTTTATTCACTAAAAAAAGTTTATAGACTTAGGGGCTGTTTACTAGGGTAAGCGTTTACTAAATCACGTTATCTTATCGGATAAATATGGAATGACTAATAATCTTACCTGGTAAGAGCGAGACAAGCACCGAGGGTCTTACCCGGTAAGTGAGGGCAACGACCCTTACCACCATTAGCGCTTACCAGGTAAATTGTTGCAGACGGAACCATATKTATTGACTAAAATCTTACATGGTAAGTAAGTGATAGTGTTGAATTTATCGGGTAAGTGTTTGGCAAACGTCCTCTTAATCATTTAAAAGGAAAAAGAGTTTGTTGGAATTTTTTGAAGTTTTCCCGATTATAAAACTATTAACATCAATTTTGTCATACAAAATAACATTCTTTTAATCTTTTCATTTCTTAAGACTCAACTTACGATGACAAAACTCATACAGGTTACTTATTGTTTATTAGTTACTATTAAAACTTGTTAGGAATAAAATGGCTTAATACTAACATCAGATACAAATTGATTTATCCAATACAACAATTTCCTACACATAATTAAGTTTACTTAGAGTTCCTTTATTAAACGCTTATCGTGTATCACTTACTTTATCAGGTGAGCATGACAAGAATCGAGAATCTTACCTGGTAAATGAGATAGCAGGATAACGAGAATCTTACCCAGTAAATGGCATAGCAAGATAACGAGAATCTATCCCAGTAATCGGTTAGCAAGATAATGAGAATCTTACCGTTGATTAATCGAGGCGTGTACAAACCGACCCGGATACCCATGCTTAACAAAAAAGAACTTCCCCTTTAACTCTTCAGAATGTTTTCATTTAGTTTTAAGGCATACCCATATTACTAAATCATTACAAAATGTCTTAAAAGATCAGTTAGCAATTAAGAGGCCGTTCACCAAAAAAATAAAAAAATAAATACGAACGCAACAAGAGATTAAGAGGCTCTAACTCTGTAAGAAGATATCAGTATTATATGATTGCTTACTGAAAAATGTTTATTTATCGAATATTATGTATTGACTGACAGAAAATTAGCATTGCAATATTCTATACGACTAAATATGACGAAAAATTATGTGAGAAGTAGAATTAAGATGAAAAGCATAAGAAGTGATTTGAACCTTTGATCACATTTAATTTCAAATTCACTCATGAATCAGTTTTGATACGGAGATTGACCAGATGCATCTCGGTGCATCTCTTCCTAATATACATTAAAGGGTAGAACCCAACAAATTAAATATTACCTATTTATATAATTCAACGTTAAATCACATGAAATTACAATTTTCATAAATTAGACAAGAAAATACACTGAAAAGCATTAATATTTCAATAAAAGTTGATTAAAAGTTTAAAAAAGTCTACCTCAATCTAATAAACAACAACGAATTTAAATATTTTGAGCTTAATTGCCCAAATTTTGTATTGGAGTGTCGCAGTCACAACCTGATTTATGAATTTAGAAATTGTTTAGTAAGATACTTGATAATCTAGTCATAGGATGATTAAGGAAACCCAAAACCGATTGTAAAAATAGAAAACTGAAAGGTTCGAGACTCCTTTTCTCCGGACAAGGCCAAGATTATTAGGCATATATATATATATATATATATATATATATAGACTTGGGATCATGTGAGACCAATGGTTTTTCGTGAGACCCGTAAGACCAATTCTCAACCCTTGGATTAGATTTACAATCGTCAGATCTGAACATTCATAAACGCGACGAGACTTCTCAATAATTACAAAATTGCCACCGTGCAATTTAGACCATTAGATCATTAACTTATAAAGTTGATCAATGAACATAAATTGGTCTTACAGGTCTCACGAAAAACCCTTGGTCTCACGTGAACTCAACCCTATATATATATATATATATCTATATATCTATATATATATATATATATCTATATAGGGGAGCGATCAAATGCAAACCACTCAATTTGTACAAACCGTGCAAACCGCATTCAACCAATCATAATTTTTCATTTTGTTCATTTTTTTTGTAATTATGAGAGTTTGATTAATCATTTTTATTGTGCAAGGTGTTAATCATAGATATTATCATCTTAATTATTTTAATTTTAGAGAAATACATGAAACAGTTTCATTAATGTTAGAGAAATACATGAAACAGTTTCATTAATGTTAGAGAAATACATGAAACAGTTTCATTAAGTATTATATGAAACAATTTCACAACCATATATGAAACAACTTTATCAAAAAAAGTATTATATGAAACAATTTCACAAGATTAAACAATTTCATGAAAAAATTTCATAAGATTAAACAATGAAATCGACAGATAAAGGTGGTTTGCACGATTTACACAAATGAGGGCGGTTTTCATATGATCACTCCTCTATATATATATAGACTTTGGATCATGTGAGACTAACATTTTTTCATAAGACCTATAAGATCAATTTTTTATACTTAAAACTTCACAATAAAATACTGTGAAAATAACTTTCACAGTGTTTTTAATGTGAAAGTTCCGATTTTTTTTCCTCACAACTTGAAATCTTTGTATAATTTAAATCATGCACTCTTTTTTTTATTTGTTTTACCCACTTTCTTTTTAAAAATTAGATTCTCATCTTCTTTTAAATTAAATTATCTAAAATATTATCGATATTTTTATTTTAATAAAAAACAAAATTTTCATTATATTTACTTTAAACTTCATGACATATATAGGGATTAATTAATAAGAACCTTAAAATTTGTGACATGCGTAAGATTTATCTTAAACCATGAATTTAGCATAATTAATGTTATTACTAATGAGATAATTAAGGAGCTAATTATCATTCTTTATTAAATTAAAGTTAAAACAATTTTTTTAGAAAATTTCATAAGTATCTTTATAAATTTATCTCTCTCCATTTTCCTATCTTCGTATTAACATACATACACACAATTAAAAACGTGCTCACAGCATGAACAGTTTATGAACACAGTGTAAACAATGTTAACAAACTTTTTACTAGGGTATTCACATGGTGTTCACAAGTGGTGGGTTTAGATTTAGTTGATGTCCACAATATGTTCACAAGTTATACCAGATCTGAATATTTGAAGTGGGTACACAATGTATTCACAAACTATAATAGTATTTCTAAAAAAGTGTCGACAATGTGGTAAGCTTTTGTGCATATTCAATTATATGTGTGTACGTATATGTTATTAAAAGAGGAAAGATGAGAGAGAGGGAAAGATTTTTAATTTATATTAGTTCATTTTTCAATTAGTATTTGATGGTTTAAATTGGATATCACAAATTAGAGAGTTGTTCCAATTGCAATTGCAGGGTGTGACAGGATCTCTTGTTGATTCACCACCATCCCTTTGGATTTTGTTCTCTGAACATACAAATATCTAGTCATTCTTCAAGATCTTGGATGTCTTGTTTGTTTATAATCCTTGATTTTGAAACCCACAAGGAATGTCCTCCAATCCATTTCTACTTTTGAAGCTAACATATACCACTATTTGTGGTGGTTGTTTGATCCATCCATGGAGGTTTTGTTAACAATAAGCATCCTAATGAAATATGCAAGTGTAAAAGATTCAGTTATGGAATAGAAAAAGCATCTCGAAGATGGAACCTTTATTTTGATGAAAAAAATCAAAGAAATTAGTTTTATTAAAAATGAAGACGAGCCATGTGTTTATAAGAAAGCTAGTGGGAGCGCAATAGCATTTTTGGTCTTGTATGTAGATGACATACTTCTCATTGAAAATGATATCCCAACTTTGCAATGCGTAAAGTCTTGGCTTGGGAAATGTTTTTCAATGAAAGGCCTTGGAGAAGTTGCTTACATCTTAGAAGTAAAGATCTATAAAGATAGATCCAAAGTGCATATACAGACAAAGTCTTGAAAAGGTTCAAGATGCAATACTCCAAGCGTGGTTTCTTACCAATGTCACATGACACGATTTTGAGCAAGTCCCAATGCCCTTTCACAAAATCTGATATAGATTGCATGAATGGATTTCCATATGATTCCGCAATTGGATCCATCATGTATGCCATGTTGTGCACTAAGCCCAATGTCTCGTATGCTTTAAGCATGACGAGTAGGTACCAGTGAAATCCAGGTGAAGGACATTGATAGTAGTCAAGAGAATTTTGAGGTACTTATGAAGAACTAAATATATGTTTTAGATCTATGGAGGATTGGAAGAAGATCTTGATGTAAAGTGTTATATGGATGCTAGTTTCCAAACTGACCGAGATGATTCTCGATCACAATCTGGCTATGTCTTCATTATGAATGTTGGAGTGATAAATTGGAAAAGTTCCAAGCAGAAGGTAGTTGCACAATCTACTACAGAAGCTTAATACATTGTTGCCTCGGAAGCAACACAASAAGCTGCTTAGATGAAGAAGTTCATTATTGATCTAGGAGAGGTTCCAAGCATTGAGGACCTTATAAAGATCTTTTGTGATAATGCAGGTGCCATTGCACAAGCAAAAGAACCTAGATCACATAACAACATCAAGCATATCCTCAGGAGATTCCATCATATTTGCGAAATTGTAGAAATAGAAGATGCAGCTTCTTGACAAATAACCTACCTCATCATATTTGTAACATTTTCTTGTGTCTGATTTATAGTCCCCTTGATGAACCAGTCGACACTGAGCACAGACTTTCTCACCGACCTTCTGTTCAGTTCTATTATCATATTTCACTGGTTTTGACCCTCGAAAGTTAGATGAAGGTCCTTCCCATTTCCTTTTCTCTACAACTTTACCCTCTGTCTACCGGTTCTTATTTCACTTAGTAACTTCCGCCGCATCCACAATTAATGAAAAGGTAGTAGGGTTCATAGCGATTACAAATTCACGGATCCAAGGTTTTAACCCCCAGATATACATCTCCACCTTTCTGGATTCTGACGAGATGTAATGTTCAGCAAATCGGGAATACTCAATGAACTTTTCAGTGTACTCCCAAACAGTTCTGTTACCTTGTTCCAATTTCAGAAAATCTTCTTTCATTTGTCTTGCAGCCGTCTTGGGACAAAACTGATCTTTGAATCGGTTTACAAATTCCGCCCAAGATAATGTTTGTAAGACATCTGTTCTGACCAAAGACTCAACTTCCCACCAAAACAAAGCATTATACTTCAATACAGATACAACAAATTAAACTTTATCTSTTTTTGGACACCTAATGGTGTAAAACACATATTCAATCTCCTTGATCCAACGCATAGCCCTAACTGGATCTCTTTCTCCAGAGAAAGTTGGGGATTTACAAGTCAAGAACATCTTAATGTCTTCTTCCTTGCTGTGAGCAATTGGAACAGAGGGATGCACTTCCACTCTTTCCGTTTCAATCCTGGCCGGTATTCCCATGATAGATGTCAAGGTTTCCTTAACTTTCCCATTTCTTCTGCCAGCATATCTCTTGTTATGTATTCTGGGTGTGGCACCTGTTTCTCTTGAACATTCCCAGAGTGAGATTCTTCATGTTCAGAGTGTGTCTCAGCCTGACCCCTTCCCTGTGTCTGGCTTCTTCCTCTGCTTCTTCCCCTTGTTCTTCCCCGACCTCTATTTCCAGAAGTACTCGTTGGAAGATTAACGGGTGATTCCTCTCTATTTCAGACTCATGACGAGCAATTCTCTCAGATCTCCGTGTTCGGCTAGACATCTGCAGATTTAATGTTAATGATCACGTATTCACATTCCCAAATATAATGAAGTATTTAAGTCCAGATATGTACCTGCATATTTGTAATTACACTGGCTAGATGTAATTAGAATTTACCTTACACACTGTTCTTTCAACTCATCATTATTATTTCCAATGGTGCTAACTATGTCCGGGACCCCTGACATGCAATGAAATAGTTTAAGTCTAGGTATCATGCTTTAAATACCTAAATCCCTTAAACTCAGGCTCTGATACCACTTTCTGTAATACCCCATACCACATATTGCATGTAACACATACTTTCTTTCACAAGAAATACATATGTATACACCATTCAGGTCCCGTAGTACAAGAATCTACCATACAGAATACATGGTCCAAAAATTCAAAATACATTTCTTGTACTAATCATCATTCATCTACCAAACACTATATGCATTATAGACGACGCAGGAAAATATCACATTTTCCCCTTCCCTTTACCGTCAGCACTTCCTGCAATACATATTTAAAACCACAAAATGAGGGTTAGACCGGAAGGTCTAGTGAGATCCCTTTTTCTATGTCATTGTAGGGTGAGGATCACCAAAATATTATTCAAATCAACTTTTCATATATATATATATATATATATAACAAATATATGAACAAGTAAAAACATAATACCAATACCTTGCCAATTTCCAAAGCCAATCACTCAGTTTTATAAATAACATATCCAAACCAAACAGGTTGGAACCTTCCAAATTTACATAACACTACTTTAAACCTTTTTAATTAAAAACAAGGTTTATTTAAAGCTTCAGGTTATAGACGTGTTATCATCTCCTCAATAACATTCAGACTACGATTTTCAGTAAGAACCCTAATCATAAATCTTTAAATCACAAAGAAATAAAGACTCAAAATCACAATAATCTTAAAGGATATAATAGTAAGAGTTATATTACGTAACACACACATACAAATGCCACCCTTATATCTAAAGGTACACCTCTCCTTGATATGCCACCCTTATCCCATGATACACCTCTCCTTGATATGCCATCCTTATTTTCTCATCAAATTCCTTACAAAATATCTCCAATTAGAACAGACCGAAGTCATAAATGTCCTAGTGGAATATCATCAGTTCAAAATCATTTTTATAAAATTTCTCATTCTTTATCATATTAATTGAATGTCATATTAATGATTCATTTGAACAAATACCTTTAGTTAAATTACTAATCCGGTCAACCTTGAAATTTGGCAACATAGACTTGGCCGGACTTCATCTCCGGTCAAGTCTTGGCTGGTGTAACAAACCGGACAACACAAGCTTACTTGTTCGATTTACCAATCCGGACAACTTCAAAACAAACCCGATCAAGCTTGTCCGGTTTATATATACAACATTTTTTCAACACTTCTCAAATTTGATCTTCGCTCAGTCGGATTACATAATTCCGCTCAAGGCTTTGGTCGGTTTATGAATAAATCGAACAACATACCTGTAGGATCGATTAACTCAGTTTCTTGGTATAGATTACTTACTTGGATGATCTGTTTGACAGTGTTAACGCAGCGGAAGTAATAAGAATCAAGCACAGTAGAAATCAATAAGAACACGATGAAGACGATTGATGAACACAAGAGAGAGCTTCAAAATGATTTTCAATTTAATGAAAATGTTAACAATTACAATACTGAAGCACACTGAAATAYAAGGGCCTACGCTGCTATTTATACAAGCAAGTAACCGTTTCCTGACACGACCTAAAAGTAAATTAATCTAAGCCGTTCGATCAAAATAGATTACAGACAAGAACACATGATAGACACGAGCAGCTAATAAACCTATGTAAAAACAACTAAAGAAGATCTATACAGAAGACATGCTGCAGAACCTCTGTAAGACATGACAGAGGTTCTGTCGTCTTTGACTTGTAG